ATTTATTGAAGTTAAGGAATCAATTAGTTGTCCTTAAATAACCTAAGAGCTGCCTTTACCGTACCGTAACCAAGAAATTGTATAAGAAACACGCTCTCGCATTCCCTGTAAATACTCCTAATGCTCTATCGATTCTTTAACTATAATTATAATTTTGCTCAATACAATCAGAACTAAAAATATAATTTCGTATATAATCTCCAAGAAAAATCAGCCTTGCCTGAGACCATGAGCTTTGCGAGTAAAGGGAAAATATAAGAACTATTGTATAGTGTCGCATACTCGATAACGATACTTCATATGCATATCTTTAATATATTAGATCGTAAATTTAATAGCTTTCAGGTCTTTACCCAGAAGTCTTATATAAATAAATTCTTCTATGATAAGAACGCGATAAATTGGCGATAGAGGCACACATCGTAAACTGTATATAAAAACAAAGTACACAGCCACACAAACACAAAAAAAAAATAAATAAATAATAATAAAGAACACGCATATCAAGCGCTTTGTCAGCTCGACTGATCAATGTAGATATATATATATAAAAAAAAAAAAAAAAAAACAACTAGAAAGTGTTCACAAAGGAAAGCAATCAGTCGACAATTGTTTACTTTTACAGAATATTGCAGGAGCTGTAAGCGCTGACGGAGCTGAAGTTGAGGCCGAGGCAGCGGAGCCGGCGATGGAGGGCGATGAGGCAGAGACAAGTGTAGAACCGATTGAGAATGGAGTTATGGATGATGCTGTTGGGGCGGAGAGTGAGCAAAATGCAAACGAAAAGACTGAAGCGATTGTGAATGAGAACGAAGCGGAAATGGAAATTGAAACCGAAACGGAAGAGCAGCAGCAGCAGAAGCATGAAACGGAAACTGTAGAAGAAGTACACGAGGAGAAAGAGGAGGATAAAGAAGAGAAGGCAACTTCAGCTGCTGCTGCTGCTGAGGAGGAGGAAGTGGAGGAGGACGACGATGAGGTACAGATTGGCTTGCTTTAATTGCCAATTAATGTGCAGTCAGCAATTGTTTGAACGATTCGATGTTATTTGTGTGACGTTTGCTCAAAGCGTTTTGACCATTTCCTTTGTTGTTTTCAAATTGTGAACTGTACAAAAACAAAAACGAGAATTAGCTCAAATATATATGTATATGTATAACTTTACTCTATACAACAACAACAACAACAGCAACAGTAACAGCAACGTAGCCGCAACCGCAACAACAACAACAACAACAAAACACAACTATATCTATCTCTTGTCTATATACAATATACGAATGCTTAGTAAATGCTAAAATCGATTTCGTCTATTACCCCATATTGATATCTCTATCTAATCAATTGTATTTTGTAAACGTGTGTTAAATTTCTTATTCTAAATCTTAAACTTAATTAAACAAGCATAAAAATAATATCAAACTCTGCAATAAAGTAAACGCAACTCGTGTGTTTTTTGTTTATGTTTTGCACTCGAACTCAATTTCCGTCTTACTTGTTCCATATTCCATTTTCCATTTGTGTATGTCTCTCGCCCACATTCCGATTCACTTTCTCTCTCTCTCTCTCTCTCTCTCTTTCTCTGTTTGTTTGTTTGTAGATCTAATCAATGCAATGCGCATATCGATTTGACAAACGAAACCAAATCAGCAGCTGTTTGCCTGCAGATACACTTTCATTTTCCACATTTTCCCTATTTTCTTGTATACAACTAATAGAGAGGGGGGGCAGGAGTAGGCTCTATATACATCTATAAATAATCGTATGCTCCATGTGTGCTCTGGCATTTCACTTTCGCTTGGCATGTCCTTCTCCCTGACGTTCGCCTCTGGCTGTCAGGCAGCGATTCGAATGGCAACTGAGCATGCAATACGTCAAGAACAGTTGTAAACGTTAGATATTGCAGGCATACATATATATACATATATACTATATGTTCTTCATATACTAGTTATTCATATTCTGCAATTTATTACATTCAATTTGTTTTCTACACATTTGCGTGGGCGTTTTTGCAGCACAACAAATTTCTAATGACTCGAGATCGTATCTGTGCTTGGCTGCAATGTAATCAAGTTAATGCAGCGTATGCGCAATATTACGTATACGACGGGGAGTTGCAGTTGGCAGCTGGCAGGAGCAGCAGCAGCAGGATTAGCGGTAGTAGCAGCAGCAGGAGGCACCCATTCGCACCACTAACTAAACCACTCCACTCCTCACCCCTCACGCCACCCTCACCACTCCATTACGTTTGTCGTAGTTGTTCTTAGTCCTGTGTTTCGTATCCTTGTTGCGCACTCTTTAACTAATCCTTAGCTGTTTAGGCCATTTAAGCCAACCGAATAAATGCGCAAATTCTCTGCAGGATGTGGTAGCAGCCAAACCAGCTCGCGTCCAGGATGCCGAACAGCAACTGGTGCAGGATAACGATGGCGGCGATTCGCTCACATCGTCGCTGGCCATCGAGGGCTTCGTACAGGGCGCCGCCGAGGATTATACAGTTCAGTCTCAAACATCAGCAGCTTATGATGAAGTGGATGAAGTATAAGCGGCTAAACCTTTTTTCTATCTCCCATCAAAGTTTAACTGAATCACGCTCTCTCGCTCTATCATTTGCCCAATCTAAATTTCAACTTATTTTACTTTGATTTTCCTTTGACTTTCCTTTCGGCACCGACTCACCCGCTTTCACTAGGATGCACACCAGAACTATTGTCGCTCTTTCTCGCCGGCCGCAGCAAAGTTTAACTCGTGGTTTCTTCACAGGATGGCCGCTTGCAGCAGATCATCGAGTCGGGCGACATGGAGCAGCTGGCCGAGATAGTGCTGAATGGCGAGGGCGGACGGCTGCTGGGTCTCAAGTCCAAGGAGCCGGAAATTCAGGCCTTTCTCAACAACGTGCCCAGCTACATGGTCTGTACCAGGGCCGGCGATTGCCTTCGCCTTAGCCTTTGCTTTATTTATGTGCAATTGTCCACTAATTGCTGCACTTGCTCGACTTTTGCAGGAGAAAATCCATCGCGTGCACGATGCGGCACGTGACGGCAGTTTGTTGGCGCTGCAGCAGGCGCTGGATCGCCGGAAGTTTGCCATTGCTAAGGACGACATATCACCAAATGGCGCCACGCCGTTGCACGTTGCCGTCCTCTTTGGCCACAGCGGTAAGTGGAGAGTGGGAGAGAGAGAGAGAGAGAGAGACTGGGGGAACTTGGGTTTGGGTTGGCCTGGATTGAGTGGTGGCAAAACCCCCCCCCATTCAACGCTGCTTGTATCACAGTTTTGTTCTAAATCCCAACCAACCCTCAGATATCGTACGCTATTTGGCTTCACGCTTTCCGGAGACCATGGCAATTACGGATAATGACGGACGCACGCCGCTGCACTATGCGGCCACAATTAAGGACAACGGCCACTTCTACAATGTCCTCACGCAGCTGGGCGCCGATCCAAAAGCGCAGGACAAGGTATATACGTATATGTTATGTAGAACACTATTGCATAATTAGGAGCTAAAGGCATTACATAGAGCAACGTTACTTAATTTAAGCAGTTTTTAATGGTAGAAAATGGAGAATTGTTAGCGCTTGCAGCTAGAATAACCCTACACCGTTAATAGATGGATTTATGCTAGGTTAGTAGAGTCTTTCAGACAGACGCCTCAATGAGGTAGTTACCCTGTAATTGTGCTGTGAATAAACATATAGATATGTTTAATTACATATAAAATTAATTTAAGAAATATATACATTCTTCTTTGTGAGTGACTTATAAGAGTTGTACATAGCAGTTGAAATCATAGTTTACCTAATATACCTCTCTTTGCCTAGTAATTAGACACTGCTAATCAATTATCTAGGCTCTAGGAGGGTCAACCTCTAATGTATATGCAGTTACCACAATATAGATGACTTAGAACAAAATATACCGTAGAATCCGGTCATACGCCTCCGCTTATAGCATTCGTACGGTTATTGAGACGAAAATTCTGATTCAAACTTACAAGAGTAAATTTATATGGCTACAGCGTCATCCGAATATGAAGACAGTTCATTCTCGATTGAGTGTCGCTATAACTGGACATACTGTATATAAACATATATACAATTAAAATAGCTAATATACCCTTTTAGGATTTATTACTATATACTTGCTATAAAATTTGTGCCAAAATTCACAAACTCACCAATTTGTTTGTATTTTAAACAAATTTGTCTTTGTTTGGATCGTGTTTCAAAAGTTTAATAGTCAAGTCTTAGCTCATTTTCTAGCTGATTAAATTTAATTCATAGTTCAGTCCGATGACATTGTTAACAGAATATTATATTTAACCTAAACACAAAATAAAATTGAGTACCCTTAGCAGAATGAAATGCTCTGCTGCATTGCTTGTTAATTGACCTATCAACCCGGATTCACGTTTCATTACTATTTACTCCAACAGCTCAATGAAAGTCTCCTTAATAATAACCTTCCCAACTCATTTTCTATTCGGCTGGAAAGAACAACAGCTGCATTATCCTTCTACTCCTTTCTGTGGTTAGCATTGAAAAGGCTTAGCCATAGACTTGAAACTATAAATTTAGTTCCTGAAAATGGGTCAAGTTAAGGCCTATGTGACATTCATTTAGGTCGCAGTTAGCTGAAGAGCCTTGTCTTCGAGCCTGAATCAATATCGTTTATAAATAAGAGATTAACCACAAGGCTTACATATATTTAAAAATTCTACACGTACGCAGCTGGGCCATACGCCCGAGTTCTATGTGGATATGGAGAAGTCGAAAGATGTGCTCACCTACAGTGAGCTGCTGACCGTATTTGGGGCCGAGGAGCTGGAGAACCAGTTGCTCAGCGATCAAGGTAAACACTCAATTATCCACCATTTTTTTTTATTTGTTGCGCTTCATTTGTTTTTGCTTTGCTGTTTGGCTTTAGCATTGTTGTTGTTGTACGCATAATCAACATACACACACACGCACACATATACCAATACATGCACACACACATGCATAGCCACACACTTGACTAGTCATCAAAAGGCACTCGCAGTGAAAATAATTAAATACGTTTTTTTTTGTTTACTAACCGAAACTTCCGGACTTGATTGGCTGGCTCGTTGACTTTGCCCGTGCCAAGCATCGATTTTCAGTCATACACACACGCACACAGCTACACACCTGCTGACACACACACATACACACAAATACGCGTCCTTCGCTGGTTGCGCACTCACGTATTCATACCTCGTATACCTCGTATAGCTCGCATAGTTAGTCAACTTCTGGTGGCTAATACGCGCAGTTGGTCTCACAGTTAGCCACGGACAGTTCCTAACGCAACAAAATGGCGGCAGATCGAGAATTTTTCAATGAGATTATCAATAATATAGACGATATATTCGGTATGTAATTGATACTGACTGCTTTCAATTAAAGTAAATTTAAATGGTTTATAAAAAACAAAACACTTAATATTGTCTATAGGACAAGGCTATGGCTATGCTGTTTTAAGCTGATATATTTCCAACATTTTCTCGAAAGTTAACAGCAATTACATGGGCTTAACCAAAGTATCCAACTTTTTTTTTTTTTTCAAAAGAGCAGAAAGTTTCTCAATTCATTTCATATTATTTTATAGAGAAATAATGAGATAAAAAATTATAAAGCTCGGCGTATCATAAAACTAAAAAAAAGAGTAAACAATTACAAACCTAAACCAACAAAAAAAATTTTAAATAAATTAAAATTCTAACTGAAAAGAAATTTAAAATTAAAATATAAAAAACAATTAAAAATTAGATATAAATGAAATAAAAAATTAAAAATTAAAGTTTATCTAAAAAAATTTAGATAAATTTGTTCACAAAAAAATTATTATATACATAATTAAAAACTAAAATAAAAATAATAGTAAAATATTGTTGTAAAAACTAAAAAATAATGGGGAAAAAACATATAATCAAAATAAAGAAAATATAAGAAATAAGGGCAAAAAAAAAATTATAAACGTAATTATAAGAAATAAAAAATAATATAAAAATAAAAAAAATATATAAAATAATAAAAAAAAATATATATAAAAATAAAAAATAAAATAAATATAATTTACTTGTTTTATATTTAATATTTGAGCTCATTTAAAATGTGCGCTGTCTTTGTATTGTAATTTATGAAGAGTTAATTGCTTTCCAATTTAGAACAACAACACAAATAGAATTTCATATATAGCTGTCTATTTAAAGCTGTAGCCTTTTTAAGTATGCTGTCATATTTCGTAGTATTACCCAACCACAAACATGAATAATATATGCCCAACACACTCACATACATACACACAAGACCTCATCAATCACACTCTCGACTTGAACTACATATGCACCTGTTTGAGCACATGCGCCTATTTTTAGCACACACACAACACACACAACAAGTCTCTTGAGCTGCTCTGTGTTCGTTGCCGTGTCTCTCTGTCTGTCTCTGTGTGTGTGTTGGTATTACAACTAGCCCGCTGTGCTGTACTGATAATCATCAACAATTACACCCAACGCTGCCCAACAACAACAACAACAACAACAACAACAACTACTTGAACAACAACAACCAGTGCCCGATGATCTGCACAGCGCTCGTCGTGAGCTCCAGGATGGCGAAATTGCGCGAACTCTCGAACGTTGCTACAGCGTCATTACCGAGTCCGGGAAGCTGTTGAGCGCCTCGACCGTCTCGGCCTTGTCGCATCGCAAGCCCTTGAGTGCCTCCTCGCTGCAGCTGTCCGTGACGAGCTATTTGAGTCGGTTCCTCAAGCGGCCCGTCTACGAGAAGATAAAGCGCCGGCAAACGCGCCTGGATCACAATCTCTTCGATGTGCTGTGGCCGGCGATGCGCAAGACGTCGAAGCTGCGCCACCTGGAGGAGGACATCAATTGTGGCATTATAGCGCCCGATTTCGATGTGTTTGTGGTGTTTCAGGAGTTTCTGGTGCCGCTGCTCAAGGACATGCACTGCCTGAGCATCGATGCGGAATTCAAGCCGCATCCGCGACTCGCCTACTTTCCCATGGACAACGGCGAGCGTCTGAATACGGCCGCATTTGTCTACGACGACGAGTCGCAGCTGGTGACGCGTTGCATTGTGGAGGCATCACGGAATCTGGACCAACTGGAGCTGCCCCTCAATCTGACCATTGGCCAGATCGAGCAGGCCGAACGCCTCATGATGGGCCGCATATTTACGGCCAGCTTTGCCGAGGCCATTGGCGAAACGGAATCGGGCAGCTACTATACGCTGACAGAGCTCATGGAGCCGGACTCGGAGGTGGCCAAGCTGCTGGGCAGCCTGGGTCTAATGATACCCCTGCTCGATGACAAGGATCTGGTGCAGGCAGCCGAGTCGACGGCCTTCAATGGCGCACTGTGGCCCTATGGCCGCGGTGTCTACGTCAACTCCGCCCACAATATGGCGCTGTGGCTCAACTGTCAGGAGCATCTGCGCGTCATCTCGGCCAGCAGTGCCAAGGATCCGGCGGATATGGGCGCCGCCTACACCCGGGTGGGTCGCGCCGTCACCTATCTGGAGACACAGCTGCACTTCAAGGAGAGCTATCTGCTGGGCTATCTGCAGTCGCGGCCAGCCTATCTGGGCACTGGCCTCAAGATGACCACCATTGTGAAGCTGCCCAATCTGATGAAGGAGCTGGATAACTTGCGTCACCTGTGCTCCGTGCGCGGCCTGAGCATGGTGACCAATCGCCTGTCCAAGCTGACCGTGCGCTTGATCAACATGCAGAGCATGGGCGTTGTGGAGTATGTCCTGTTCCAGGACTATTGCACCGCCGTCACCAACATCCTGTCGCTGGAGAAGGACATGTCGCTGACGAACTCCAAGCATATTGCCACCATGCTGGTGAAGATCTTCAAGCGCAAAAAGAATAGCATTATCGATCGAAACTAATCAAAGAAACCAACCGCAAAAGAAACCAAATGAAAAGCACAATTCATACATTAATCAAATTCAATTTGTATTGTAAATACAACCGAGCACAGCAAAGTAAAACTACTCAAATTGTAATATATATATATAGATAAACATATATACAGCTACTCGATCGATACATAGAGCTTACAAGCAAACAAACAAAATAAAATAAATCGTTTTAATTAAATACCAAAAACCACATCCTCAGCTTCGGCCGCAACGTCGCACGCAAAAAGTTTTCATGAGATACACGTACGTACCTATTGCTCCTGCTACACCCCGCCGCTAATCCCGATCCTAATTAGCAATGTGTACCGTTCTTTGATATGATTTGCCACACTTATCAGTTACAATGTAGTTATTTGACTCGACTCTCGCTTTGTATATATATATAAATAGTTATATATATATATATATTTTATATATTTTATATATTTAGTGTACTTAGATGTTATCCTGATCCTCGGCTGTGTCTTATAAAGCTTCTCTGCATTCGCAGGTCAGTCGCAGCCCGTTACCTTTCAGGCCAATCCCATCTTCAAGACGGAACAGGGCAAATATCTGGCAGACAGTAAGTGAAGCATCATCATCATCATCATCCGCTCAGCTCCAATAATCAAGTTTCGTTTGTCAGCTCTCGCCGATCCATTGATCAAGGCCCTGACCGAGATTGCCAACAAACGTCCGAAAGATCCGGTTGCCTATTTAACCAGCTACTTGCAGCAATTTATGGGTCAGCGCAAGGCCATCACCGAGGTCGTTGTCCACTCGGGCAATAGCAAGATCAGCAGCAATTCCACGGCTCGGGCTAACTCAATGTCCAAGCTCAATGGCAGTCGAACGGGCAAGAGCCAGGCGGATATCATTGAGCTGGATGCCGGTTCGCTGGCCGAGGACCAGGAGGAGAATGATGAGGATGCTGCCCTGGCTGTGCAGCACCTGGAGGAACGCGACGAGCATGGCCAGAGCATGTTGCACTTTGCCTGCGCCCGCTCGCATCGTCGCGGTGCTCTGTACACTCTGATCGAGGAGTCACGCATCGATATCACCTACAGGGATGAGCTGTATCGCACGGCCAGGGATGTGGCGCTGCAGGCGAATCAGCCAAATAACGCCACGGAAATCGATCGATATGTGCTCGCCCAGGCAGTGCTGGGTGGGCTTATTAACACTGATTGCTCCTCGAATTCCCTAAATTCATTCCATGCCATTTGCAGGTGAAGTGGAACCCTTTGAGCAGCTGGCGCTGCAGGGCTACGATCATATACTCGATGTGGAGGATGAAAATGGCAAGTCGATTTTAGATGTGGCCACAGAGCATCAGCACGAGGCACTTTTCACCTTCCTAAGCAATTTACGTATGCTGGAGGAGACACGCGAGGAACTGCATCAAATGATACGCGACAAGAATATGGAAAGGCTCAAAGAGCTAACCGCCGTGCCCAATGTCAAGTGGCTGATTAAGACGAAAAATTATTACGGTATGTGGGAGAGTGATAAGGAGAGAGAATGAGTGGTGGAGAGAGAGGGGGAGAGTGTATGAATTCCAATCTAGTCTAATCCGTTCTTTCTCTAGGTCGCACTGCTCTGCACATAGCCGTGCTGAAGGAGTCGGAGGACATGGTACAGCATCTGGTACAGCTTTGCCCAGAGGCACTCAAAGTTACAGATAATGTGAGTTGGATGTTAAGTCTGATCAATCTTTCATTTATAGCTCTGCTTATCTTTTCCTTTCCATCTCTATCTCATCTGCCCTCTCCTTCTCCCTCTCTCTCCCTCTCTCTCTTTCTCTCCCTCAGCTGGAGCGCACCGTCTTGCATTATGCATTGGGCACCAATTTCTGTGAGAGTGTCAGTCGCATCCTTATACAAAATGGCGCCAAGCGCACGGCGAAGGATCTCAAGGGTAGACAGCCGAGCTACTACTTTATCAACAAGGCGGACATCCTGCGTCTGCAGGAGGAGGAGGAGGAAAGTCGCTGAGCAATATTTATGATGTATAGAAACTCAACCAGCTCTAAGCTCTGTTCTAGTTCAATAAAAATGAAAATCGTTTAGCAATGATCGAACTTAATTGTAACTCATTTCGTACGTCACACAGTCTGCGCATGATATGTGCCCAAGTGGCCCATTGAGATAAGCCTGAAGATTTGCTTAAGCTGCCTTGAGCAGCCACGCGATCCCCCCATTCATGACTGTCAAGTGCTGAGCGTTGGCCAACGTCATTGAGGAATTGTTACATGCTGAGATAAGACTACGACCAAATCCCTGGCCTTGCTGTGATTCCCATGCGCTGGGCTTATCGATTTTAGGGTTGAGCCAGAATAAAAATGATTTTTTGATTTAAAAACCAGCTGGCCATATATTAAATAAAGAATTTAAATATGCAATTATTGAGAGAGTGCGCTAAAGCTGTTAAACGAATTTTATTACTCATTCACGAAATTCAAATGAGTATATTAATTTTGCTTGGTTGTTTGTCCGTCTATATGATGAGTCTATTAGGGGCGTGGCAAATCGGAAATTGCTATTGAAGGCGTGAAAAATATGGCCTATAATTCTATGGACATTCCAAATTTAACTACCCAATAAAATTATTTATGTATATTTACATATACATTGATGAGTTCGCAAATCGGAAAATGGAGCTGGCAGCATTTCGAATGAGTACACTGCAGTCGGTAGTGCGCGTTTAAAACGTTATTAAGTGTTGATTATATAACTCTTTGTTGTTGTTAATTTTGATGTGCCAGCTGAAAAGTAAGAACGCTTTAAGAAAAGTTGACATAAAGTTGACTAAAGTTGACTTTTATTAAATCCTTAAATTTTAAGGATTCGAATGATATATATATTTAAATAATATTAGTAAAATATTTTGCATTTATTATATGGTATTGACCAAGATTTTTGTAAATGAATTCTATATACACTTTAATAGTATATAGTAAATATTTTTATAGGGTATTAAAAAATCACTGAAGTCAACTCAAAGATCTTTTGAGCCTGCGCACATTTCAGCTGAGTCTTCAGCCTGTCTAGTCGTGAGCATTATCTAAGCAAATAAATTGAGTGTGTGTGTGTGTGTGTGTGTGTGTGCGGCTGTCTGTGTGAGTGAATGCATAAATTTTTGTTTGATTTGCTGTCAATGGCCTATCAGACCATGTGAAAAATCACTGATACCAACTATCAAAAATTTCGTGTGTAACCGACTGTGCGAAAGTGTGGGCGTGTGTGTGTGTGTAAGTTGTGTGCGCTGATTTCAAACTAATGCAAAAGTATGAAGCATTAACGTGCAGCTGGTTAGGTGTAAAGCCAACAGAAAACAATTGAGAGTTTGAGTTGCTTCTCGAAGCTGAACGAGCGCGGTTCTCCAACTAAAGTCGAGCGATGACAACGGAAGTGAACAAGGGTAATGAAAAGTCTGGAAAATTGTGATCAATTTTGGAATGTGTATCAGAAGTTGTCTCTTGATAAACTCAATCTGCTGTATGGCTAAGATATACAATAGTTAAAAATATATATTCAAATAGTTCTGGACATAGTTCCACAAGTGGTAATTTGCAAAACATATGCCGCAGACTTGTTTGAGTGCAAAAATATTGAAGTATTGAAGCAAATGACTAACAGAATTAGAGTTTTGTTAACTACAGAAATGAGTTATTTATAGAAAATCCATCTAATACTTTAATATATATTAAATCTAGAATTTATATATATTTAAATTAGAATTTTGTTTGCTAAAATAAAGAGTTATTTATAAGGGATCAATATAAGATTTATATATAATCAAGAATTTATATATATTAAAAATTGCATTTTTAGTAATAAAAATGAGTTATTTATATTAATGTAAGATATATATTAAATATATATAAATATATTTCAAATCTCTCTTTCTTTTCCTCTCTCTCTCTCTCTCTCTCTCTCTCTCTCTCTCTCCGTGCCTGCTCTTAGGTCCCATGCTGGGTCAGCGTCATGTGCAGACATTTTTGCTTTTTCTCTCGATCGTCGTCAACTACATAGCCAAGTTCAATGCTGGCGTTGCTGTTGTGGCCATGACCAATGCGGAGACCACGAATCCCAATTTTCCAGTGAGTACATGTGAATAGAATTCAAGTCGAGCTGAACTGAATTAAGAATTCGAATAGGAATACAATTGGAATGAGATGGAGCGTTCGTTTATCCTGTCCAGTTTCTTTTGGGGCTATATTCTGACCCAGTTTCTGGGCGGCTGGCTGTGTCGCCACTATGGCGCACGCTGGACCATGTTCGTGTCCACGTTCGGCTCGGCTATGCTGGTGCTGCTGGTGCCCTTCTTTGTGCCCTGGGGCGGCTGGCAGGCATACTGCGCCATCCGTGGCTGCATGGGCCTGTTTCAGGGTCTGTTGTTTCCCTGCTTGCATGCCCATCTGGCCAACTGGTGCCCGGCCACGGAGCGCAATCGGCTGGGCGCCTTGGCCAACATGGGCCTGGATTGCGGCACACTGCTGGCCATGTATGTCAGCGGACAGGTGGCCGCCTCCAGCCTGGGCTGGCCCGGCATCTTCTACATCTCGTGCGGCGTGGGCGTGGTCTGGTGCGTTGCATGGCTGATCTTTGGCGCCGATACGCCTAGGCAGTCGAAACTGATCAGCAAAGCGGAGCTGAACTACATTGAATCATCGATCATCGATGCGAGCAGCAAGCAGGAGGAGATCAAGGCATCGCATGAAATACCCGTGCCCTGGAAGGCGATTCTAACCTCGTTGCCCTTCTGGGCACTCTTCTTGGTGCGCTGCACCCAATCGTGGGGCTACTCGACGCTACAGGCCGAGATTCCTGCCTACATGAATGGCGTGCTCCTGCTGGAGATGAAGAGCAATGCTTTATTCTCGGCGCTGCCCTATTTGGCCTCGTGGATCATGGCCTTAATCTACTTGATTCTTTCCGATATTCTGCTGACGCGAGGCACTCTCACAATTACGGGCATACGTAAGACCTTCAGCTCACTGGCCTCCTGGCTGCCCGCCATTAGCTTGATTGGCCTGAGCTTCTTGGACAGCAATCAGAAGACCTTGGCCATTGTTCTGATGACCGTCAGTGTGGGCATCAATGCCGGCTCTACAATCGGCAGTTGTCTCAATACCATCGATCTGTCGCCCAATCATGCCGGCATCCTGATGGGCATTGTTAACACTGGCGCCAATGCTGTGCCCATTCTGACGCCACTGCTGGTGGGAATGATAGTTAAGAATCAGGTAAGTCTCAAGAAATTTCACTAATATATCCTATGATATACTAAATCAATCTTCAATATTTCAGCACGATCGCGTCCAATGGCAGTGGGTATTCATTATATCTGCTATCGTATTCTTCTTTGGCAATCTGTTCTACATTATCTTTGGGCGCATGGTGAACCAGCCCTGGAATGCCGCTGACTTTCTAGATCATCAAAAGCAACCGCTCAGCCAGGAGGAGGGACGAGCAGCCAAAGTCAAATCCAAAGCCTTGGAAGCACATAATGCTGCCGTGACTCGATCTACGTAGGCCAACGTAGTGATAGCAGGAAATATGAAGTAGCAGCGCTAATAGAACATAGTAGTATCAATTAAGAACCACTCACGGCTGGGTCGTAGATAAACAGCAAACTCTAGTTAATAAATATATATGTATTTA